GACAGACAGACAGACAGACAGACAGAGAGAACACGTTGGAGAGGATGTCCTCTGCACTGCTTCTCCTCAACCCTGTAATTGCTCAGTCACTAGTATCCATGCAGCTCCATGACAATCTGTTCCCTTTAAATGAATTTTCACTGTATAAAATCAGAAGCTTTGAGGGCCAGCCAAATAGCTCAGCAGATTAAAGCTCCTGCAAGCAGGTACAGGGGCCAGGGGTTTGATCCCCGGGCCTTCTGTGCAGGCCTGCCCCAGGGGCGCTCTGAGACTGTAATTGAGACTGGGCATGGTGATGTACACATGTAATCCCAGCTCTTGGGAGGCTGTAAACAGGTGGATCACTACGAGTCCAATCTAGTAGTGAGACGCTGAACACCCTGTAGACCCTTCCCTAAAATATAAAATAAATAAAAATAAAAATCAGAAGCTCTCTTTTATATAAATAGCTTGGAGGAAAGCTGGTGCTGGGCTTTTGGGCCTGTTGGTTTTTGGGTAGCCACACGAGCCCTGTAAGATCTCGTACTCAGCACTGACTGCTGCCTGTCCCACAGCACTCAGCATCGCCACGCCCTTTGACTCCATCTACTTCGGCCTGTGTGGCTTCAACAGCAGCCTGGCATGCATCGCCATCGGAGGCATGTTCTACGTCCTCACCTGGCAGACGCACATCCTTGCCATCGCCTGCGGTAGGTGCTACTCCAGAGTTCCCTTTGAAGCTGAAAAGATGCTTGCAACTTTCCCCCACAAAGAGAACTGCCCTAGGACAATCGTGCCCCCAGAAAAGACAAGTAGGAGAAATGATTCATTTACGGAAGGGCTTGTAGTTAAAACTGTCTTCAGTGGTTATTTAATGAGCTGTTTTCACTGTATATACAATGTTCACCCACAAGAGGCAGGCAGATTTCTGTAGTTGGTGATGGTTTCCTGCTTCTCGTGGCTATCTCCTGTGATTGCTGCCTCCCTGACTGGTGATTAAAGCACACAGAGAAACTGTTAGATAGTTCATGCTTTATGTGGAATTAGGCAACTTTATCATATGCAGTAGTAAAATGTAAACATCCAAATATGGCCAATAAGGCCCTTTGAGTGATCCCTCTTGGATACATAGTTCCTCAGAATCCTAGAATATTACCTAGGATTAAAAAAAATTTATACATTTGTTAATTTAATCCTTGAACATTAATATTCTTAGCGTTAATATAAATGAAAACCAAGTAAAACTTTTTTTGGTGTTTTTGAGATAGTGTCTCACTGCACAGTTCAGGCTGTCCTTGAGCCCACTTTGTAGACTATACTAGTCTTGAGCTCCCAAACAGCCTCCTGCCTAAGCCTCCTGAGTGCTGGGATTACAGGTGTGCACCATCACACCCTGCGAAACTTTTTTTAACCAAGATATTTAACACAGAGACTCCATTTAGCACTACCATAGGCTCTGAAACATTATCTACATTATTTTTTTAAAATTAGTTTACAATAAAAATATTCCCAACTATCCTTTGCAAGATATTCTAAATCAGATATGGCCATATATTGTATTCTTAAGGTAATTTGTAGACATTTTTGCATCTTATAAAATCACTAGAGACATGGAAAGCATAAACTTTAAACTAGAAATGAAGGGTCCATCTATTGCTTTTTTCTTTCTTTTTTTAAAGTTATTTTCTGATACTTTAAAAGACTCAATATAAGGTCAGCATGCTACATACAATAACTTAAGAAATAGTAGTATTGGAGCTAAGGCTATAGCTCAGGGGACCTAGGGATATAGCTCAGTGGCACAAGCACCTGCATATCAAGTATAATGTCCTGAGTTCAATTCCTGGTATAAATAAATAAATAAATAAATAAATAAATAAATAAATAGTAGTGTTGTGTTATTGGCCAAATAAAGGCACATAGCACCTGCCACGAAAAAGCACTTTTCCTCCTCTCACTTTTCTACCTTTATTACAACTCAACACAGTTGGTATTTGTGTCAGTTTTGATTCCTGTGACAAAATACCTGAGATAAACAACTTAGAGGAGGAAAGACTTATCTGGGGTCATCATTTCAGAGGATTCCATCCAAGGTTACCTGGCTCCATCGACTTAGGCCTGTAGCAAGGCAGGAACATGGTGGAAGGGCATGGCTAAGGACAGGTGCTCACCTCATGACAGGCAGGAACAGAGAAGACAGGAAAGAGCCTGAGAGAAAGGGAGCAGATCTATTCCCCAAGGTTATCCCCCCACATCCCACCTGTTCATTCTTTGTTGTACCCCCAGGCCCCAGCTCCTGTTCTCATTCCCTCCCAAGAATGCCATCCAAATCTAACCTCATTAATGGATTCATTCACTGGAGGAAGTTCAAGTCCTTGTTATTCAATTGCTTCTCAAAAGCCCACTAACTGGTGATCAAATCTTTAACACATGAGTTTTAGAAGGTATTTCAAATTCACACCATAACAGTATTATTGTTCTACTTTGAAAAAGAGGAAAAACATGTCACAGAGGTGGGCCAGGACTAAAGTGAGACAATTCAGATGCAAAATTTAAGGAGGATTTCACCCTCCAAACTGTGCAGGTGATGGTTCTGACATTTTATGCTCTTAAGTTAAGGAGCTCCATAAATTATGTATCCCAGCTGTCTCCCTTACCCCCTCCAGTTCCATCTTTTTTTTTCCTAGTTCCATTTTTATCGAAGTCCAATAACCCAATTGCTCATGTCAGAAGTCACCTGAGTGGTTCTAAACCAGGATGATTTCTCCCTTTCTCAGGGACTTTTGGCAGTGTCTGGTGAGATTTCTATTTTACCACACCTAAAGGAAGAAGTGTTATGGGCATCTGAAGGGGAGAGGCCAAGATGCTGTTAAGCATCCTACAATGCACAGAACAGCCACACAACAGAGAATGTCAATAGTGCCACGCTGCGAGCCTGGTATATGGCATCTCACTTAATCCTCACTGCAGCCTAGACAGTTTCCATCTCACAGATGGGGAGCTGAGGCTGAAGGGAGTGAAAATTGAACTGCCTAAAGCCAGGTCTACACACAATTGGTGCTGCAGAAGTCTGTGCTCTTCGTAGGACATCACACTCCTTCCTGAAGCCAGTGCTTTTCCTGAGGTCCAGGGCAGTCAGCCCTTTCCACAGTCATGCAGCTAGTGATGGACAGGACCTGTGAGAAGGTTTTTCCTGCTCTTCCTGTCCTCCAGAACAGATTCCCCCTGAAGTCCAGATAAGCTGTATGTTCTGTTTCCTGTTACCCATCTCTCCTCACTCTACAGGCCCTACAACCACACATTAGCACACAAAGGTTCTCAAAGGATTTCCCATTGGATGCAGACAGATAAAATTTGATAAAATAACAGTGGGTTCAGGGGACCATGAGAATAAATCCTGGTGTCCAGTAGGACACCAGGATGAAGGTAGAGTTGGATGGAGTTGGGCTCAGCCCAGATCACCCCAGGAGCCTCCATTCCTCACAGGCCCAGCCCAGAGACAGCCTTGGACCTTCTGGATTCCCTGTGTTCTGAGGGCTAGTGGTGATTAGATTTGCCCCTCCATGTGCCTCCCTTTCTAACATTAGCTCTGAGAGGTTAGAGTACACCGTGGGTAAGAGCCCCTCCCTGGAGCAGATGGCTGGCACTCTGCTGCTCGTCACCTGTGTAATCCTGGTCAAGTCACTTGAACTCTCAAAGCCTGATTCTAACAGGGTCTGTTTCACAGTGTTCTTGTCAGGATCAAATCCAGTAATTCACCAAAGCAATGGAAAAAATGCTAGACACCTGAGGTGTGCCCAGGAAGAGTTGATCTTGTCACCAGTAATCAAGCAATGCATACTAATAAATGAGGATGCAGCTGACACGAAGAATGGCACAGGCTCCTGGTCCCTTCAAGAGAGATTTGCTGGCTGGTGGCACCCATGAAATTGTTGCCTGCCACACACCCCACACACATACCATTCTTCCTTTAATCACTTCTGCTTCCTACCTCTAGGATAAGGGGGCTTGTCTAACTCAAAGACAGGCAGAACAGTCACAGCATTTCACCTCTCTGAGCCTATTTTCTCATCTATGAAATAAAAGCAATAATAGTGCTTACACTGTAGGAATGTCAGAGGATATAGTTGGCATTGCTGCTGGCCGGGCACACAGCAGCTCTCTAATAAAGGTAAGCTGTTGCTAATAGCCAGGGGACTATTGGGCTGCTCGCTGCTGAGAAATGAAGGGTTCAGAAACAAAGCCAAATTACATTGGCCCATTTTCTTTGCTTCTCCCCTCTTGCCAGCATTTGGCTCTTCCCAGCGGTCAGCGCGGCCCTGTCCCCTCTGCAGAGCCTAGAAGACAAGGCAGTGGGCATATTTGGTCTCCCTCGAGCTTACAAAATGCTGCTTCTCCCAGGAAACCCATATTATGTTAATGTCTTCTGATAAAATATTCCAGCAGGGAGTTCTGGGACTCGCTTGCCTTTGCTGTATAGTAAAATTTTCATTTATGGTTTATGCTGTTAAGTGTTCCTTTACTGGAATGCAAGGTGGTGGGACCCAAGAGAACTGTAACAGCTAAATTCTGGCCCTTTTTAACAAAGTTCATCTGCTGTCTTAGCCATGTCGGCATTTGCGTGGAACTTAACACTTCTGAAGCTGCCAAGCAATGGAAACATAATTCTTTTTTCAAAATCTGAGATACAGCATTGTGGCATAAAATTAATGAAGAGAGAATATGTAGACAAAGCTTGAGGTCCTGTTAAGTAGTTACCAGACTATTTATTGTTGGTTCTTTTTTTTTCCAGCTCTGTTCACAGCCTACCTGGGCACTGCTCTGGCCAATATACTGTCTGTGGTAAGTCAAAAAGGGGTACAGACATGTTCATGAGCCCCCTTTGGCTTCCTAAGCCCTGTTTAATACTCCTCCTCCTGGAGCCCTGCCCAGTTTACACCCTTCCCTATTTGCAAATAGCACCGTGCACCTCAACATTGCTGGATGGAAAGAACTCCACCTCCAAAGTTTACACGGTATCTGCAGGTCAGTCATTTCCCTCTGTCAGTGACCAATGGGCTCTTACTAGAAGCACCATTTGAAGAGCATGATCTTGTAAATCCAACTCTTCTCTATGACATCATTCTCTAGAACTGGGTTTAAATCCTTGCTATCTAACTTTCGCCTGTCTTTAGATCAACCGCCCACCTAGCTTGTGGGTCAGCGTACATCTTGGTTCCCTAGCACATTTCATGGATCAAGGGGACACTAGAAAAGGCTTCAGGGAATAGTCATCAAGCCTTACCCAGTGCCAGGGAGATAGCTCAATGGCTTAAGCCCTTGCTTGGCAAGCAAAAGGTGCTGAGTTTGATCCCTGCTACAAAATTTTTTTAAAAAATTACAAATCAAGCCCTAACCAACCAGAGAGAAACCTGACTTCATGGCTTGTGACAATAATAGCAATACTAGAACTCTTTCTTTTCCTGGGCTCCAGTGTAGGTAGAGTATAGAAAGAGCCATCTGGCCAGCCCCAGGCCCAGCACAGAGCACTTGGCACCCAGTTTAGAGCTGATGTCTCCCCTACCTTGATACAGTTACAAGCAAACCTTACATGAGCAGTGAGGAAAGGCCCTGTGAGCCCTGTGGGTAGGGCTGGCATAGATACTCCACTCACACTTATTAAATCCCTCCTACTCTAGTGACAATGAGTGATTTGGCTTTAAGAAGATATTTCTTAAGCAGAACAATTACCCTTTCCTGACACTAGCCTGTTTCTTTCAGGGGACTAAGACCTTCCTCTGGGCCCTACCACCCTTGGTACACACTTGTCTACAACACAGCATGCTCAATATCATGCCAGGTCTAATACTCATCAGTCCTCTTCCAACTTCAGCCCACATGCTTCTCCAGAACAGGAACTTATCATATTCTTATCTCCATCTCTAGAACCCATCACAGTGCCCAGAACATAGTGAGTACTCAAAAGATAAAGAATGAGTGAAACCCTAACATAGTGAGCCTCCACACCAGGATATTAGCACCAGGACTGCAGCCAACCATCACAAACACTGAGGGACAAGAGAATGGAACATGGCTTTGGCAGCTCCTGGTCACTTCAGGCCTTGTCTCCTCTTTTGATCCCCATTAATTCACCCAGTCAGTCACTGAATAAATATGTTATGTGTCTTCCCTGAGCAAAGAAGCAGAACAGACAGAAGCAGGCTCCTGAACATATGTGTCCTCCTAGTTGAATTTGTGGGCTCTTTTAAGCACGAGCCATCCACAAAACCTCTCTCAGTTGAAGAGGAAGAATATAAAAACATCTCAGGGAATCTCAAAGCTTAAAAATCAAGTCAACAACATAAGAAAGAGATGTGAGGATAGGAGAGCCCTTGAGAGGAGAAGCAGCGACTCTCCACTTCCGGCTACCCGGGACAACAACGCCACTCCTCTGTCTGTCCCCACACATCTGCTCATTTCCCTGTGTCTCTCTAGGAAGTGTTTTCCTACTGCACACAGCTTCATGGCCAGCCTTACTGGTTGGCTCTCACAGTTGAGGAAATCTAGGGACACAGTCTGTGTGCCTTTAGCTCAGATCATCAGAATTAACTGTGACCAATGAGAAGGTCTTGAGCTATAAAATGGCTTCCAAAAACATTTCTACTGTGGGAGGTATTGGGGAAAGACGTGGAAAGACCATGATTGTGGAATCAGAAGTACAGCCAGCCCATATTCCCCAAGATGTGCATAAAGGCATATCAACCCCTATTAGCTCTCTGATAGCTGCATTCTGAATAGTATGTGATCTCTGCTACAGTCCATACTAGCCACACTGGCATAATTTTATGTTCATTTCAATTAAGCATCATCTTTATCAATGCCCGTAGAGCATGACTTTAGGTGACTGATAAGGGCTAAACAAGCACTAGCATCTGATATAACCAAGGCCTCTCTTGTGTCTACCTCTCCCTCCAGTTTGGATTACCATCCTGCACCTGGCCCTTCTGCCTCTCAGCACTCACCTTCCTGCTCCTGACGACCAATAATCCTGCCATCTACAAGCTCCCGCTTAGCAAAGTCACCTACCCGGAGGCCAATCGCACCTACTACCTGTCACAGGAGAGGAACAGAAGGGCATCAACCATCACAAAGTACCAGGCTTACGATGTCTCCTAAGTTGTCTTTTCCAAAACATGTCACTCTATATGCAGCTATCAGCAAGCTATCTGGGTCCCCAGGCTAAAGGCTGCCTAACCTCCCCCTCTGTCTGTTCTGTGATTTGCCCCAAGCACAGGGAAATGTGTGTGGTCAGCATTAGGGAACTGTCTAAGATGACCTAGTTCAGACTTCATTCTTATCATCCATCCCTAGCCCCATGAAAGCTCCTCTTTGACAGGAACTTTTCCTGTTCTGTGAAAGAATCTTCATTCCCAAGGAAATGTCACCAAGAATGGGACAGAAATGGCTGACATTCCTGCCAGCTTGGTCATTTAGTATAGCAAAGCATAGTGCTGGGAAATGTCCATTGGCCTGGAAGGCAAGAGGGCTGATCCCCCCCAGCTGCACCACGAATGGAGCCCAACAGCCACAGGCCACACTTCCGGCTTCAGCATCTCTGCCTGGACGTCTCCTTGGCAGGAATTTCTTCATGACAGGGAGGGACTTAGGTCCCTTCTACCTCAGAAGTGTTGGTTCTTCTCGTCTCCTATAACCTGATCAAATCAGCATAATCAGAAAGTGATTGCCTGGAATCCAGAAACAGAAGACAGTGCAGCCTACAAAAGGGCAGGAAAGGGCTGCTGCTCTCTGCAGGTTTATTTTGAGGTCATGGAAGATGATTGGCTCCAGATTGTGGTCAGGAGCCAAAACCTACCGAAAATGTCACTATGCCTTCCTTTACATAACTGAAATACTTCCAGAAGTGTCATAAGGGCAAAACTGATCTTTCTCATCATTATAACCACATTGTAAACAAGTGTCTTTCCTTTTACAACATTCATAATTACACGCTCATTAAACTCTTTAAATTTGCAAGTTGGTATCAGGGTTTTCTTAGGCCTACGTATTCATATATTGCCAACCTGAAGGGTTTTCCACAGTCCAGGATGTATCTGGAAAGAAACTGGAGTGTGTTAAAAAGTATCAGATGGGGAGGCAGGTGTGACAGCACTTGCTCACAATCCCAGCACTCTAGCAGGCTGAGGCAGAACTGCTCATTCAAGTCCAGCCCAAGCAACTTATCAATGTAACAAGATTTGGTCTTAAAATAGAAAATATAAATGGTTGGGGATGTGGCTCATGGAGAAGGCCCCGAATTCAATCCCTAGTAATGGGGAAAAAATCAGAGGAGGGTTTCATATGCTCACAAAAGAGTCATGCAGAAATGACTAGAGATGTTGCTTTTTGTTGTCAACAACCAATGTCACTTTCTAATGACATGGAAAGGTAAAGGCTATCTATCCTCCAAGGTTACAAATCCAGCCCTTTTTACCTGGTCAGTAACTCTCCATCCTTAGTCACTCTGGGGACAGCTCCTATTAAGCCCCACCAGACACCTTTGTAGGGAGCCGTGTGGCCCAGCCTTCCCATCCCTTCCCCAGAAGAAGCTAAAACTCTTTTACCCACAGTGAGACTTCCCTAATCCCCACTTCCAGCTTAGTATTAATGGGTGATGGCAGAAAAGAACCATTGGAGGAGGAAGGAAGGGAATGGGACAGGCCCTCAATAAACACAGCTTTAAGAAAAGGATGACAACCAGACCAAAATCCATTCCTCACAAAAGCTAGTTTCTACTTCTGCTTTTTCTCTACTCTGAGGTCTTGGCATCCTCCCCAGCCCAGGAGCCCAGTCTGTGTGCTTTCAGATCCTCTCCAGCTCCTCAGGACTCCTCCAGGAAGATGGGCACATGCCCTGCAAATGAACCCTCCACCTAGGAAAAAGGAAAGCCTCACCCTCCTGAGCTGGGTCTGGGTTTGTGATCACACCTGGAGGCCACAGTTCCAGGCTGCATCCAAATGCCCCTGGAATAGTGACCCTCTGAAGACCAAGCACCCAGGAATTTCACCAGGGGCTGTTCATGCTCATGGTGCTGGGCTGCCCTAGGGCTTCCCAGTGACGACATGCAGCTATTAAAGTACAAGTTCAAATGCATTTTCCACAAAGCCTTATAATCTGGTTTTATTAAGAACAGGAAACCCTCCACGTGCATGCCGTTCTGATTATTGACCACTAATAAAACCCTTCAGCTATTCTAAGTGTTTCAATATTCTTACCTATAAAACAGGCTGAGTTGGCTGAGGACTCCAAGTAAAGTTGAAACGAGGTGAAAGAATTCAACTGATGGAAACATACGCCGTCCATGGGATGTTGAGTACGCACTCTAGCCCAGCACTTCAATTAAGCATCCGCAGGGCAGAGCCGGAGCCAGCTCCACCAACTCCCAAGAGGAGAGGTGGGGTGCAGGAGGGCACATTCCTCCCAGGCCTTCTATTCCCAGCCCTTCTGTGACATCATACTGACAGCTTGAGATCAGCCACTGTGGGAGTATTTACACCACAGAAATCAGCAAGCTATACAGACATGTAAACAACACATATTTTACAAACACACATATAAAACAAAAACATCCATTGCCAAATGGAGGAAAAACAGAATGAAATATAACAAGAAAAAAACATAGACAAGCTTCATACACTCAAGAGAAAGACTTGCGTGGACCAATGAAGACAATGTGCCAAGACTAAGGCACATGATTAACTTGAATCTGTAACCTTAAAAAGTTTTAAATGGGTGGGCAGGTGCACACACAATGCTTTCTGTTGTCCTTTTCCTTCTTGAACTAGTCGTTGGTGGTGCACAGTGGCCCCAAGAAGCAGTTAATTGCATAATTAGCTGAAATATACTCATCATTCCCAGATCCTAGTTAGAATTTGAAGTCTGTTTCACACAGAAACTTATAAGAAACACAAGAATCCCAGGCGGGCCACTGACCAGAACCTCTCTCCAGAGCTCACTGCCTATAGCCCTCTCTCACATACATGGACGTGTTGCAGCAGAGAGTGGTCCGCACAATCCTCCCGGAACTTTTCATAATGCTATGGGCAGTAATGTCAAGCCACTGTACACAGCTATTTTCAAGCAACCCTTCTTTGCAGAGTGTGCTAGCTAGTTTTTTTTTTTACCACTATAATGAAATCCCTGAGAGAAAAATTATTTTAAGGAGAAAAGATTCATTTTGGCTCAAAGTTTCAGAAGTGTCCTCCCATGGTCACAGGGTGTTTCCAGGCCTGAGGGGAAATGAACATCACTTGGGCAGAGGGGAGAGATGAGCACACCTTCAGTGACCTACTCCCTCCACCTCGCCCCCCCCAAACATTCCACCATCTTCCACCATTAGTAGATTCATCATTAAACTCTGAATTCATCAAGTGATTAATCCATTGGTGAGCTCAGTGCCCTCATAACCCAAAGGTCCCCACCTGGGAACAACCCTGCCTTAAGAAACTGAACACGAATTTTTAAGGACACGTAAGACCTAAACCGTAATTGGGAGCCTGTACAGTTTGTTTCCCTGAATCATGTACTGATGTCAGGTAGGGCAGTAAGATGGTATGCCAGTGGTTCTCCAACTCCAGCATGGGCTAGAATCGTCTTGTGATCTTAAAACAGAAGTGTCAGATGCAGTAGATCTTGCTTATCCTGAGTATTTGCATTTCCAAAACATTCTCCGGTGATGCTGACCTCTTGGGGTTGGCGTCACGCTGCGAGAGCCACCAGTGTAGACGTAGAAATAACACAGCGCCTCAACCATCCCTTCCTTCTTCATTGTCCATTATAATGCACAGTTGCAAACTTACATACACAGAGAAACCTCAGATCACACCAATGCTGCTGGGGCTGGGTCCAGACTGCGGGATCGCTGCAAAAACGCTTAGTCCTGGACTGAACGGAACCTCCGGACTCCAACATCCAGGCTCCCCTGTGGACCAAGGGTGTCAGCAGTGGGCCTGGATGCAGGTATGTTTTTAGAACTCCTGGGTGTGTTCTGATGCACAGAGAGCACTGAGAACAGCCATGGGGTCTATTTGCTGTGCCCAAAACTGCTCCAATCAGAGTCACTGGGAGACTGTTAAGGCTTTAGTCTCCATTCTCAGTTTATAGGAGGGTCTTGCATAAGAGAGAAGAGAGAGAGGACCCAGTGGGGAGCCCAGGGAGGCTCTATGGTCTGCTGGAGGAACTTGCACAGAGCAGAGAACAGACAGTGCTAAAGTCACTCCTCAGTATTGCTGGGGGGTAGCCCTGCAGCCCAGAAGAGACTAAAGAAAAGTGAAACCACTAACCAGAGACATCCGGCTCAGCAAGCCAAGCAGATGAGTCGAGTTGGGGTTTGCACTGGCCGGAAGCCTGCTGATTGAGGAGTGAAGCAGCGCCGTGGTCAGCAGCCTCTCCGACCTCACTGTCCTTGGGTGGACAGTTCAGGCCTGGTGCAGAAGTGTGGCTGCAGGGGACATACAACAGGTGTGGTGTGTGAGCAGGGACAGCATGGGGGCTGTCCTGAGGGTGAGCCACATGGGGGAGGGTTGGGGAGGTGGTGACTGTGGAAGCTGCAGCAAGGAGACAGGCAGGTGGCAGGTGGCACAAATACAAAAGGAGCCCCATGGAGACCTGTGCACAGGAAGCCCTGAGGAGGCAGGCCTCTGAGATGGAGGTAAAGGAGATGGAGAGAAGCAGAATTTGGAGACTTATTGGGCCAGGTGGCCCTGAAAGAGGAAAAATTTTAAATATAAAAACCAGACAGGTTTTGGTGAAGAAGTGAGTCTCAACCCTTTGTGAACTTCCCGATGAAACCTGAGACAGGGACAGGGATGGGGACCATGTGCCCTTGCTCCGCCCCTCAGCACCTACTCTGTGGGATCAGTCTCAAGAGAGACCACCATGTATAGCATGGCCTGAGCTGGGAAGGGCTTCCCAGGCCAGGAAAACTCACAGTAGCGCATCCTGGTGTCCAGGCCCAGAGTCCCGGGGGAGCTCAAGGGCTAGCAGTTTTCAAAACTCCAAGGTGTGCAGGTGTGTGTCCCAGCTTGCCTGCACCTCCAGAGCCAGTGGAACGGATGCTCCATGTGGTCACCCTGGGCCATGGGGAGGCTGAAGGGGGGTGGGGGGGAAGATTCCTAGAGAAATCTCAGGTAGAGGGATCGCAGGTAGCATGAATTTGTCAAGTGGATATTGTCCGATCCTGTGTCAGAGGTGACCTGTTGTCATGCAAGTTTTTTATTTTTATTTTTTATTGACATCAGTTATTTTTATTTTAAAAAAAGAAAAAAAAAAAAAAACAGTGGTACAAAATCTCAAAACAAGATTTTAGGAGAGTAACAATGGTTAGTACATTGTGTATTGTTACTGCCAAAGTAGTTTCTCATATTACAAGATATAGGCGAGAAATAATAAGCAAATAACATAGGTACAAACCTCTTTTTCTTTAAGTCAACAGAAAATGGAAATATACTTTTTAAAGTTTCTAATACTAGGAGAAGATATCATACAATGTCTTTT